TTTCAAACAAGTTATTTTTGTAACTGTGACTCAAAAATAATTAACTGTACTTAAAAAAAAGATGTATCACAACTAGCATAGGTTTGTCAAGAATTGGCATTTGATACATTTTGTTCTCTCTAATATATCATAATTATTGTTTACATTTTTTTTCTTAAATTTAAATTAAATATTATTTGTCAATGGCTTGAGAGTATTTGATTATCAGAGTTCTACATTTTTTGTAAGTGAGAGCTCAAATCAGGGTCGTATAAATAGTTGAATACGCATTATCATATTGTCAATGAATTGAATGATTCTAGTACTTAAGTAACTTTAAAGCATGACTTATGTGATAATTGAGGTATGTAGTTCACGAGAGCTCCATAATGTGAAAAAGGTGAGTAGCTGAACAAATATAAGCAGCTTAATAAAATTTCAGTTATGGTTTCAACGTATTATTAAAAAACTACTGCTTTTGTTGCTTTTAAGTTGTAGGTCAGTGATAAACCAGTTTTGTGCCTGCAAATTTTTTTTAATGTGCAATAATAAGTTAATACTAATAAAAAATGCGTTATAACGGATTTGCAAAATATGTGTATCAACAGTTTTTGATTCATTATGCATGGTCCTTGACAACTTTTTTTTCGGAAATATCGATTTAAAAAAATTTTTTTTTCATGAGGCTCAAGTAACGAACGTTTAAATGAATCGAAGATAACTTTTCTGTGCTTAATAATTGTTGTACCATTCTGCGCATCTCTAATAACTATTATGATTACTAACAATTACTAACAATTTATTTTCATCAAGTACCGAAACAGGAGTGCTAGATCATGACAAAAGAGGAAAACATGCTAATAGACTATTCGCGTATCCTGAGGAAATGAAAAATCGTGCTAAAGAACACATCGAAGGTTTCCCTGTCATAGACTCGCATGAGTGTCCCGCAAATACACAACGACAGTACCTTAAATAGGGTCTGTCACTTGCAGAAATGTTCAGAATGTACAACAAAGATGTTGGAGAAGCTAATGGAGTTGATAATTTGATCAGTGAAGACATGTACAGAAATATTTTCAATACTCAGTACAACTATGGTTTCTTCTCACCGAAAAAAAATCAGCAAGTTACGGTTATATTAGTCAAATAATTAGCGACTACGTTTCCCGTCCTCAAAAACCTTTGGCTTTTCATTTTTGATCCATATGTTTTAGTTTCTTGTGCCATTCAACACTATTGTGTCTAAAACTTCAGATGTATGATTGGTTCTACACAAATACCAAAATATTTATAGTCCCATTCGATTAAAACGTAGCGTGATGAGACATTGTTCAAAAATTTTTTTAAAATAATGTAGAGCGCCTTCATTCTAAATTTACAACAGAAATCCAAATTTAAAAAGTGTTGCTTCATTTTTAAGCTTTAAAAAATGGCTGAATGATGAACTCATATTTCGTTTAAAAATCTCTACTTTTGACAGCACCGGACATTAAAATGTTATTTTCAAACAACAGTATTTTAAAGTCATGCATAGACAATATTTGAGTAATAGCTCTACAGTTTATCTATTTTGAGATTGCCACAGAAAGTTCTCTGTCAAGTTAATGGGGTCTCACCTAGTCTCTGCGTTGACATAAGAGCTTTGTATTCTACAGAGTATAAGTGTGTGACAATAACTTTTTTAATTTTTCCATCCTAATAAGCCAATAACCCTAGGCCCTTCAAATTCGTACAGTCAGTCTTCACAAACTAAAAACTAACAGCCCGTAACGCTACAAAGGGCAGTGTTTGTTCGCCAAGCTTACATTTAATTGTCCAGTTAGACAGTGAATCGTACGAGTATAGGTAGTAAGTACTCGATTACTGCTAGGGCGAAATTCACTGTTAATTTGTTGCTTTGTAATCTGGATTTTAAATCAATTTTACGAAAGTCCATAATGTGCCTTGTTTTTCTAAAAGCCCGTAACGCTCTAAATTGTACTACCATTTAAAAATTCTCTATGGGCCAGATATAGCTATGCCCAAAAAATTATAACTTTGTTTGGTCCACAAAATACAGAAATATTGCTTAAAAAATGAAAGGCCCTTTTAAAATTTTAAAAATCAGCCAGTTTTTATAGAATGACATTTGTATAACAATAAAATATTAAAAAAAAATTTTTTAAACACCACAGCTACCTTCTATGATGAAAAAAATTTTTTTTTCTTTGTTAATGTACAAAAAATTTTTAACATCATTGTTTTCAACGCGGTGGATGATTGACGGATCAACTAATGGAAAAAAATTCCTTATTAGGCAAACAAGCTATCACAATCATGATATTTTTATTTCGTTGCATTATCATTTTACAAGCATAGTAAGTTTTTCTTACAAGATATAACCCTCAAAATAAAAATAATTAGATTTCAATAAAACCTAATCAAACTACTATTTACACTTATAATAACTCCTCAAATTTGCATTGAATTAATTTGGAGTGTCTTTAAAAAGCCATCATAACAATTCAATTTAGTCAGACGAAAGTTGTATAGCTGAAGGTAAAAGCTGCGTTAGGTGCTATCTCTTTAGGCTCGTATGCTGTGGTGTCCTTTTAAAAGTTGGCATCAATAAAAAACTGAATTTATGCCAATCACTACACTAAACAATTTTTTGGCTTATATATTTAGAAAACGTAATTTAATCACAAGTTTTTTAACATGTTAAGAAATAAAATAGAATTTTTTAATTTTAATCGTCACAAGTGCTGAATTACGTCACTTGTAGGTACGTTGTCCAAGAGATCAACTCTCTTAATCACAATAATAATAATAAAATAATTGATAATAAACTAATACGACTAAAAAAAATTTGTTAACTGATTACAAAGCTTGAAAGAAGATTAAAGTATACATTGAACATTAAGCAAATGAGTTTAACGTGACCTTTCTCGGACAAAAAAAATTTTGGTTTATGCATTAATATGCGAACTTTTTGTAACAAATAAGTTTCTTGAATACCAAAAAGTTCTGTTTAACTATATCTTTTTTGCCAGAAAATAGTAAAAAGTTACATACAAATTATTCATTTTTCCTTCAATTCAAATTTAGGCCTACTACTTTTAAGCATACAATTAACTGTGATTTATTACGTTGATTATGACACGGTTAACATGTTTAAGTTTTGATACAAGAAAAAAAAATTCAAAAATCAGCACTAGCAATACAAGACATTTAATCTTTTTATTTATCATGAGTTATTGTTGATTACCTGAATGTAACCTTTTTTTTAAATACGTATATCAAATATTTACAGGTGCCAAGAGTGCAAGTCATTCAAACTTTTACCACAAAAAGAAAGAAACAAACGACAGGCAGAAGCATGACTTACGTTTGCGCAATGACATGAGAACTAGGGATCTAAAGAAGGCAGACAGGAAGAGCGCCATAAAAGACAGTACAGTGTACTTCGCCAATTTCGATCTCCAAAAGGCTCTTACTACACCACGATCCGACGTGTCAGTAATGTATTACTATTGTAAGTTGTGCATATGAAACTTGATTGCTTATAAACTTGCTACTGGAGTAGGTAGATGTAACATACGGAACGAGACAGTGCAAAAACGCGGTTCTAAAGAAGTATCTTTAATTATTTATAAATTTATCAAACTAAAATCGAAGCGTGACTTGTTGTTAACTTATGCTTTATTAGAATTACTCATATTTGAGGGAAGTTCTGCGTATATTTTTGTCTCGCAGACTTTTTCCTTACGCTCTCACTTCTCTAGCTGATCTTCTCGTTCCTTCTCTCTCTCTCATTCCTATTATCTCTCTTCTCTATTCCCCTCTCTTTTGCAGTGCGGCTGCTGTGTTGTGCCCTATACACACACACATGCACTCTCAGCGCTTGCTTTCGAGCACGCAGTCTCTCTAGCAATGCGGCTGCTGTGTTGTGCCCTATACACACACACACGCACTCTCTACGCTTGCATTCGAGCACTCAGTCTCTCTTGCAGTNCCTATACACACACACATGCACTCTCAGCGCTTGCTTTCGAGCACGCAGTCTCTCTAGCAATGCGGCTGCTGTGTTGTGCCCTATACACACACACACGCACTCTCTACGCTTGCATTCGAGCACTCAGTCTCTCTTGCAGTGTAGGTGTTGTACCCTATACACACACACACGCACTCTCTGCACTTATATTTTTTCTCACATCTCTCTGTAAGCATTAATTTAAATGCTTAAGTCTCATGTAACATGAGCACCTTTTTATTCTTGTTTTGTGTATTTGTTGACGGTAACCAAGTTAACATTGTACTTACTTCACTCGTCCCATTCTAGACACACACACATACATCTACGATCAAGCATACACCTGGGGCGTCACTACCATTGCTGCAACATGCTGATGCAGACCTCCGCCTCTGTAAGCTCACCTACGGCATCTACACCTTTGCTGCAGCCTGCTGGTGCAGGCCTTCACCCTCGTTGTGCTGCCGCCGCTGACCTCAGTGCAGCTACCTGCTTCCACGGCGCTGCTGTGGGCTCGCCCTCGTCGTGCTGCCGCTGCTGACATCAGTGTAGCTTATATACTGTCAGCGCTACTGCTTCTATATGCTGGTACGGGTCCTGTCCATGTCACCGCCGCTGCTGTTTGCTAGCTGCTGATTCACGTAGTACACCGTTCGTATTTATTAAGTACAATGTATCGGCGTTGTTTTTAAGAATCTTTCTTTTTCATGTAAAAGTTCGATTTGTCAACTATACTTTATTTTGTTTTAGAGATCAGCGCAACACGTTAATAAAGTAAAACCATCCATGTTTTAAGAAGTGAAAGAAGGTTTTGGGTTATGAATGGTGGCAAGGCTGCTGGTTTAGTGAGAATAGAGGTAAATTGGAAAATAAAGGGGAAAGGGAAATAGTCCCCACCTTCAGATTAGGTTTTTGTTTCCACACCTTGATATCATCTGTTTCTCGTTCTCTTTTTTCTTTCCGTCAATTAATTTTTTTCCCTCGCACTCCTGTAAACAAATTCAAAATGGAAGCTCTTACTTCAGCTCAGTATGCAACTTATAATAAGATGAGGAATTCTTACGCAAATTTTAAGAAGTTAGGCCAAGCCAAGATGACTTGCGAGCAGGCGACCGCTCGGCTTAAACAATTGGACAATACCTTTTCTGAATTTCAGTCTACTCATAGTCTAATCTGGAGCCAGGACCCCCCTATCGCAAAGGATCACCCTTATTTGAAGGACGACGTGTATCCTAGAAGAGAGGAGCAATATTACTTAAATTTAGGGGATTTCACCGATTTTATTGATAGTATCAGAGTTAATATTGGTTCTCATGACTCTCCTAGGGGTAGCGATCCAGTTTCTTCGTACTCGAGCCTTCCTCGGGTTGATCTTCCACGATTTTCGAGAAGTAGAGAGGATTGGCCTCATATTCGTGCTGTTTTTAAAGCTTTGGTCCATAACAAAGCTGAAATTTTTCTGGCAATAAAACATCATTTCTTGCAGACCCAAGTCAAGGGTGAAGCTGCAGATTGGATGAAAAATATTCCACTTACGTCAGAAAATTATAATCAGGCTTGGACAACTGTAGTAGACTACTACGATAATAAGAGGAGGTTAGTTTCCAGCTATGTTAACTCGACACTCAACGCTCCGTCTATGAAGAATAGCTCCTCTGTTGAGCTCAAACAGCTAATTAGCCAAACTCTTAGGCCTCTTGCAACTTTAGATAACCTTGATCGCGCTGAACACAGCTTAGGAGATTTGTTCATTGGAATTGTGTCCAGTTAATTGGACTGTGCCACCGCCAAGAATTGGCAAAGGCATTTAGGTAGTTCTACTGACCCTCCTACGCTGGCTCAGTTTAAAAGTTTCTTAAATAACCATTTGATTTCGTTGGAATCTTATATTCCTAAGCAGAAACCCTTTGTTGTGCATGCATCACCCAAGCAGAGAAAACAGAAAGACGCCACCTTTGTTTCTTCGTCTCATCAGACTACGTCCACAAAACTTGTATGCCCTTGTTGTAACGGTGAACACCATGTTCGATTATGTGAGATTTTTCAGTCCAAGCCATGGCCAATTAAAAAATCTATTTAATCTAAGGCGAAACTATGCCTCAACTGCCTATGTCCGCACAAGTTCAGGGATTGTCGTTCTACCACTCTTTGCACCTTCTGCCAACAAAAGCATCATACTCTGATGCATAGAAATTCAAGTTCTTCTCAATCTCAAGAAAGAGGTGTTGACCCAGAAAACACCACCAAAGCTGACAAGGCTTCTAATGCTAAAGTCATTTTAAATACTAGTTCTGCTTGTTGCTCTAATACTGTGTTATTGGCTACTGCGAGAATCCAAATCGTCTCTCCGTCGGGTAAAGTTCTAACAGTCTGAGTACTCGTTGACCCTTGCTCTCAAGCATCGCTTATATCTAGGTCACTTGTCCACATGTTAGATTTAAAGCCTCAAAAAACTAGCGCTGTTTTGACGGGACTAGGAGGATTAGTCAAAGCAAATGCTATCCAATTGGTTACGTTCAAAATTAAGCCGCACTTTAAGTCCAAATTCTCTTTGGAAACTAGCGCTCTTGTCATAAACAGAGTGTCCTCTTACCTTCCGCCTGCCATTACTCAAAGAGTGCAATGGGATTATTTTAAAGGCCTTCAATTAGCAGATCCGTACTTCTTGAACAAAGATCCCGTTGATCTCCTTCTTGATGTTGTGACTTACGCGACTATTATTGAGGGACCCATAATAAAGAAAGGTCCTGACTACCCCACTGCTGTAAAATCATCAATCGGTTGGCTCCAATCAGGTGCTGTAAGTTCTCTTAGCACGGTCCAAAATCAAGTCGTATCTCTCAATATTTGTCAGGAAGATAATGTTAGCGATTTGTTGCAGAAGTTCTGGCAGTTGGAAGAGCCTCTGAGCTGTAAGATTATCCTTACGAAAGACGAGCAAATATGCGAAAAAATGTTCGTCGAAAACTAGACTCGAGATGAGGCAGGGCGCTTCACAGTGTCCCTGCCCTTCAAGGATTCTACAGACGTTTTGGTAGCTTCGCGGGAAGAGTCATTCCAGTTAATTCGTGCCATGTTTCTTCGTCTTGAATCAAAGTTCAAACTGAACCCCAAACTGTTCCAATTGTACAGGGAGTTCATACGAGAGTACATAGATTTGAACCATATGTGTTTAGCTGACCAAAACTCGACAATTTGGTATCTCCCGCATCATGAAGTTCTAAGCCTTTCAGGATCGTCACCTTAATTGCGTGTAGTTTTCAATGGTTCAGCATTCACAAAATCGGGTGTTTCGTTGAACTCTATCCAATATCAGGGACAAAACCTTTAAGCTACGTTATTTAATCTTATAGTAAAATGAAGATTCTATCGGTTTGTCTTTTCCACTGGCGCAGAGAAAATGTTTCGTCAGGTAAATGTTCAATCGGCAGATCAATCCTTTCAAGCTATCCTTTGGATACAAGACCCTTCGCAACCTCTAGCTACGTACCAGCTCAATTCCATTACTTATGGCTTAGTTTCTTTACGGTTTCTTGCCTCTTGGGTATTGAAAGAATTAGCTGTCCTTTACCATGATACTTTTCCTCTTGGAGCAGAGATTTTGAATACTGAAGTATACATGGACGATTTCATATAGGGCGCTGACACACTCACAGAAGCTAAGCAAAAGGTATAACAGCTGGATGTTTTGACCAAGCTAGGCGGTTTCAAGTTACAAAAATGGTCAAGCAACTCCAAAGAAATATTAGCCGAGATCTCTGAAGAATTTTATTCTTCCAATCCGCTCAAACTGCAAGATGACCATGAGGTTACATCAGTTTTGGGTCTTAACTGGAACTCCGATCTCGATAGTTTCAGTTTTAAGGTCAACTTACCATCTTCTGATCCAATTTGGACCAAATGCAGTGTGCTTTCTTGGTTAGCCAAATTTTTTACCCACTTAGTTGGATTTCTTCAGTAATTATTAAAGCTAAAATGTTACTACAAGAATTATGGTTGCTGAAGGTACCTTGGGATGAGAAACTTCCTTCTAGTCTTTTAAAGGAATAAAGTGAGTGGACCAATGAAGCCCAAATCTTGGATCAGATTAGGATTTCTCGTTTAAATCATTTCCAGCCCGTTGACCTAATAATAGAAATCCACGGCTTTGCTGATGCTTCTAAACGAGCTTATGCTGCTGTTCTATATCTTCGTCCACTTACAACAGACATGGTTTTTACTTCATTAGAAATATATAAAACCAAGGTGGCACCACTAAAGACGCTCAGCATTCCTCGTCTCGAGCTGTGTGGTGCTCACTTACTTTCGAAGCTAGTGAATCATCATGTCTCAACTACAAAGGTTCAGGCTTTGGCTATTCATCTATACACTGACCCTATGGACACTTTGTGTTGGATAAAGTCAATTCCATCTAAGTGGCCTACCTTCAATGCTATTAGGTGTTTTGAAATTCAAACCTTGACTCCTACAGCCTATTGGCATCATGTCAAAACTAAAGAGAATCCGGCAGATCTCGCCTCTCGCGGGGTTCTGCCCAAGCAACTTATTGGTCAGAAACTTTGGTTTGAAGGGCCCGATTTTTTGAGGAGTCGTGAAATCGTTTTTTCCGACATTTCACCTAAAAATTCTTCTGAAGGTGAAGACACTGTTCTAAAAGAAATGCTTTCTGTAAATGCATTAGAATACCAAGATAAGTTGTTACCAGACACTTATTCCGCTTACAGTAGTTGGCATAAATTATTCAAGGTTACAAGTTACTGCCTAAGGTTTATATTTAGGTTTAATTTTCAAATGCCAACGTACTTCAAATCGAGTAAAGTCTGCTAATTGTAATGACGTTGAAATTTTGACGTCACAAGAGTTGTCTTTTTTAGATTTATCCGATACTTTTAGGTCAGATAGCCATTGTTTGACACTTTTAGAACTGGACAATGCTCAATTAGTTTGAGTTCGTTTTTATCAGATGTTTCGCTTTCCGCACGAATACCGTATACTTTTAAAAAACTCGTCTTTATCTGAATTCAAGCAGGTTTCATTAAACAGAAACAGCAGCGTCGCCAAGCTGAATCCTGTTCTTGTCAATGGAGTGATTAGAGTAGGCGGAAGACTTAGAAAGGCTTCCATTCCTAGCCAAACTGAGCACCCTTTAATTCTTGCTCCCAAAGATTATCTGACCGACTTGATAATTAATTATCATCATAACTTAGTTTTACATGGTGGCACTCTTCTTAATTCGCCAAGCCAACTGGATTGTGCGAGGGCGTCAAGTAGTTCGTAATAAAATCTTCAAATGTATCCCTTGTATTCGGTATAATGCCAAACCGCATGTACAAACTCCAATGATGGGAGATTTATCATCATCCAGAATACTGGAGTGTCCAGCGTTTACTAAAACGGGTGTGGATTACGCGGGTCCCTACACTATCCGATTGACTAAATTGAGAGGAAAGGGAACTCAGAAAGGGTACATTTGTATTTTTATTTGTTTGGTCACTCGATCAGTGCACTTGGAAGTGGTGAAAGACTTCTCTTCAGAGGCCTGTCTTGCTGCTTTCAGTCGGTTTACATCCAGGCGAGGGTACTGCTCGCACTTATACAGTGATAGGGGTACCAATTTTGTAGGTGCATCTTCCGAATTAAAAGAGACGCTCTGCCAGTTTTTAAGGTCATGCAACCTCAGCAATAAATTGCTAAAAGCTGGAACCAATTGGCATTTCAACCCACCTTCTGCGCCCTACTTCGGTGGTTTGTGGGAATTCGCTGTTAAATCAGCTAAACGGTTGTTAAAACAAGTTATTGGCGGCCAGGTGCTCACCTCCGTAGAATTTTCCACTCTCTTATGCAAAATAGAGGCGTGTTTGAATTCTTGCCTCCTAGTTCCACAATCAGATGACCCTTTTGATTTAGAGGTACTCATGCCTGTCCACTTCCTGAGCTACAAACCTGCCTTCCTAACCCCCGAACCTGAGTTAAAAAGAGAAGAATTTAACCCTTTACGACGATGAAAATTCATTTCATCCTGTCTCCAACAGTTTTACAAGAGATGGGCTAACGAGAATCTTGTGTCATTACAAGTTCGACAAAAGTGGATTTTTAAACAAAGAGCAGTTCAAGTCAATGATCTAGTACTGATTCTCCAAGAGAATACTCCAACTTCTCATTGGCCTTTAGGCCAGGTGACTCAGGTACTCGCAGGATCAAATGAATCTGTTAGAGTTGTTAAAGTCCGTACCACTACCTCTACTCTCACTCGACCAGTGGTCAAGCTCGCGCAAGTTCTACCGGCCGAGGAGTTTGATGTTCATAGTTAGCAAGCTTCGTTATTTGTAAAAGGACAGCAGTCTTGAAATCTTTTAAATCCACATATTCTCATAAGTTTATTAAAAAGTAATAACAATATAGGCTTCCTTGATTACATTTTACAATTTTTTTTTTTTTTATTATGCAGTTAGATATAACACTAGAAACAAATTACATACTTGGTGTGCTGCCCGTTAAAGAAAATGCCCTCACCTCTACCCAGGGAATTTGTAAAATCGAAGTGACTAACATAATTATTATTTTTGTTTGTAACTGTAAATAAGTTTAATTTTTCGTTATCTTCTACTTGGTCTGTCTTTCTGTCATTATACTCAGACATACTAACCCGGGGAAATGTTCAAAATTTAAGGTCTTTATCGGGTTTTTTTGGGCGCATTAAACGAAATATAGACCACCTTAGCTTACTGCATTGTATTTAGAAGTCTCTAGCGTGTTACTATAGGACTAGATGTATGCGTGTGTGTATGCATGGGTGAGAGTGTAGTGCTGCGCACCTTGTGCACTGATACACGCGATGTGCGGATCAGTCTCCTTCGTACATGGCTAGCGGACAGACGTGTTTCATCGTTTTTGCTCCTGCAGCTCCTTTTCACGTGTTGCGCTGCCCACGCGTATACCGGCATAACTCTGCCATATTTTTTTTTTGGTTATTTAAACACCACTGTAAATTTAGTTTTATTACTTACCTCTCTGTTCACAACAAGTTTAATAGTTCTCATCTACTACGATTGTTTTCTAATTCTATTTTTAAGTGATTCGATCCAATACGCTCAATAGTGATTTCTAGGTCATATAATACCTTTTATTATTTGCTTGAATAAAATAATTTGGTTGTGTTTAATGTTATTTGAAATAAGTGCAGTGTTGTATGTCATTTTATTTTAACACCTTCTACAGCACCCCTTCGTTGCCTAACGTCCTTTCCCCAACCTGGTGTGCTCCCGGTCCCGGCAAAAAATCAACCAAAGACCAGAAGCTTTACTGGCCTTTGACCTTTTCATACAGTCCTCTAATGGTTTCATTCGCTGTCTTTTATGTGTATACATTTTTTGATTATTGTTTGCACATTTCCCTTATACAAAAAAATTTATTCTAAAATTCGCTTAGTTACTTATATTATATGCCCACTTAACTACATTTTTCTTGGTTTTTACTTATGTCCATATGCACTATACAGGGTTATGATAACAATTTTTTCTTGCATTGGATAATAATTAATATAATTGTCAGTTTCGTATTTTTTTTTTCATGTCAAGAATGTCGAGGGTCAAGGACTTACTGCGTTCATGAAATTTATTATTAATAAATTTTTTCTTCGTTTTGGTTGCTTAGACAATTATTGCCCTTGTATCAGTATGCCACTTAGATGTGTCTTGATACCTTCCATTGAAATTATTGCTGGTTTCAATGCCAAACTATTGTCCAGTGACGTCTCGTTGACTCTCCGACTGGTGTTCTTTCGCTTGTTACCTGAAATCGTTCTATAACAAGTCTGTAGCGAGGCCCCCCGTGGGAACCGCACTTAAATTAGACCATTGTGATAAGAAGAGAAGGCAAGTTAAGTAAATATGCTGAATCTTTGCACCCAACGTAACAGGGTAAGAATGATTTGTTTAATATTTATTATATGCTAATAGATTTTGCCATTAGGTACAATTTTTTTTGCACCCCTTTCACACATATATTTTTCTGGCCTCATGTTAAATTCTTAATTTTCTGTAACAACTTTTTTTTTTTTTTGTGTACAAAATGCTTATACTAGTTTTCTTATTCAGTGTAACATTTTTTTTTCTTTTATTTTTCCATTGCTTACATTAGTGGGCTCTAAAGGATGTGTTAATTGCATACGCGATTTAATCATATACGAAATGTGTTTTTTTCTTTTCGTCGGATGTCTATTTAAAACATTTCTCAGCCATAATACGTATTTGTTTCTTTTTCTGATTGGTGACCGTGTACGTTGTTGGAAGGGAAATTTATAGGAACTTCTTTTGTATTTAGGCAGCAATTTTTGGATTTTTTTGTTTTTTATTCCTGTATGATTCGCAATTATTTGGTTTTTTTTTTTACTGGATACATACTCTTGTCAGATAATACAAGAGTTTTCGACTTTTTTTTACGTTCTCACAATCGAACTGGTTTTATTTTTTTTTTTTTTGCTCCATTGTTTTGGCAATTTATGTTGTATTTCCACTACGGATTTTAAGGAATTTTATGACAGGTATCTGCTTAAGATGTTCTGGCCTCGTATATGAGACTGATGACTCGTATTATAGGGTTTTCCCCCTTTAAATACGTATGTGTGTATGTACATATGTAATGTATGTATATGTTTTTTTTTTTTTTTTTTTTTGTTAAGAACTATCCCCTATAGGCTCTGCTATGTAGTATTACTATGCATTTAGATGCTATTGTCATTGTTATGGTGAAATTCTGTCTCAGATTTAGTTGTGATTTTGATTTCTTATATAGTGGAGGAAACCTTATCTTATGCGGCTACCAAACCGAATATGTGTACGTATTTCCTTTGTTCAGTTTTATTTTAGTCTCGTTATGTTAACAAATCTTTATAATTTTCAGTAGTTGTTGTCATCCTCTGATAACCGTTAATTTTGATAGTAGGTTAGGAATATCGGGATTGACCATAAATAAAGTACTTGACGGATTATAGCTGAGTGCGCAATTGGTAAGAGTTTTTCAATTGCAGCTGTATTTCTTGATAATTAAAATCAAAATATTTTGAAAATAAGATTTTTTTTTTTATCAAACTTTAAATGTCTCACGTCCTTTAAAATCAACTCATAATACTAAAGTGCGTCACATTTAATCGTAATCGTACTTAAAAATATTTTGTTATTAATTTTTTTTTTT